GTCCTGGGATCGAGCCCCGCATCGGGCTCCCTGCTCAGCAGGAAGCCTTCTTCTCCCTCTCCCACTCCCCCTGCTTGTGTTCCCGCTCTCGCTATCTCTCGCTCTGTCAAATAAATAAATAAAATCTTAAAAAAAAAAAAAAAGAAATGACCTCTGGAAGTATCAGATGGGAGGAGATCCAAGGGAGTCTTCAGGGTGCAAGAAATATCTATACCTTGTGCCTTGATGTGGATTGTAGTGACACAGGTGTATACATGTGGAAAAATTCATCAAGCTGTACACTTCAGATTTGTGCACTTTACACACATCATTGTGTGTGTCTCATATCTCAATAAAAAAGAAAACAGGAAGGAAATAGACATTTATTGAATGCTTGCTGTATGCTAGGCACTGGCTAGATCTGCTTTTTTTTTTTTTTTTTTTTAAATTCACTTAATGAGCACCAGCTCTGTCCTGGACACGTTCTAGGTTCTGAGGACCCAGAGTGAAGACAAAAGTTAGAGTTCTTGCCTGAAGGATGCTCACAGTTAATGGGGGAGACAGTATCTAATAGTCACACTTATAAAAGTGAAGTGAAAACAGTGACAAGTGAAGGGCACATCACTGCTCAGAAAAAGGGGCAATCTGAGAAGAGAATCAGGATTTTCTGAGGAAATGAAATTGAAACAGTGGGGTCTAAAACGATCAGGAGAAAATACCAGCAGAGGAGCAGGGAAGAAGAGCATTTTATGCAAAAGGAACAGCATTTTGTGCAAGGGTACTGTGGTAGAAAGAGGCACATTAAAGAGGGCAAAGAACAAGGCTGAGAAGGGCACAGAAGTGAGAGAGGGAGCCTCAGAACAGCCATTTCACAAATGGGGAAACTGAGGCTCAAGGAAGTGAGATGGCTGCTGCAGGTCTCCCAGTAGGTGGAGCTGGGGTTGGAAGCTAGCTTGTCTGGTTCCCCTCTGCTTGCTGAGACAGAGGGTAGGAATGTGAGTGGGAGTGACTGTCTGGGTTCTGACCTACAGCAGGGTGCCAGCTACCCTCATGCTCCCTGCCTCTCAGCTCCACAGCGCCTGTGAAAGGGATGGCCATGGAGCCCTGCCCTGAAGAACAGTATTGGGATCCCCTGCTGAACGTCTGCCTCTCCTGCAAACCCATTTGCAGCCATCAGATTCCACGCACCTGCTCAGCATTCTGCAGTGAGTTCTGGGGCCTGAGCCCCACGGGCTGGATCACCCCTTCTTTCCCCCCAGAGGTCCCTCAGGCTCCATTGCACTTGGGTGGTTGAGAAGGAGGTGGTTAAAGGAAATGTACAATGTGGCACCCTTTTACCCCTCAGTCTTTCTGCTCTGGCCATGCTGGCCTCCTTGCAGTTTCTTGAACATGCTGTTTTTTCCTGCCTCAATGTGTTTGCACATTTGTACTTTATGGTTGGAATGCATTTTCCTGTTATAGTTCCCTCAGCTCCTTCCTACTCAACCTTCAGGTCTGAGGCCAAATGTCAGAGGTCGTATCTGACTACCCAATAGAAATGAAGACCTTCTTTGTCCTTCTCTGTTCTAATTTTCTTTTGAAACTTTTTATTATAGGAATTACCACGGAGAGGATAAAATAATAAATTCCTATCTACCCATCATTAGCATTAAAAATTCTGCCTTTTTATTCCCCAGGCATTTTTTTGCTTGTGTATTTTATTTTATTTTAAAGATTGTATTTCTTTGAGAGAGGGCAAGAGAGCATAGAGGGAGTAGGAGAAGGAGAAGCAGACCCCCTGCTGAGCAGAGAGCCTGGTGCAGGTGGGGCTCGAACCCAGGACCCCGGGATCATGACCTGAGCCAAAGGCAGACACTTAACTGACTGAGAGTATCTCCACTCTCCATTAATGAAGTAGAATATTCATTGTATCACTCCACAAATATTCATGGAACTCTCTAACTCCTTGAAAATAGGAAACAGACATGATCCTTCAAGGGGGTTATCATCTAATGGAAGAAATAACTACATTTCAAGGGAGAAAGATAAAGTACCATAAAATGCTACAGTTGGGAGAGACCACCTCTGGCTGATGGGTTGGGGAGCAGGGAGGTATTCTTGGAGTAAATGCCACCTGAGATAAATTGTTAAGAGTTTGTAGATGTGGCGTTGGGGGGGGGGCACTCCTGGAAGAAGGACCAGTGTGGGCAAAGGCATGGAGGTGAAAAAAACACAACAGGAAATATCAAGGTCCAGAAGGGAAGTTTATGAGGTTGGGCAGTGAGGGTTGGTGGTCTGGGAAGCTCAGACACCACCTGCAACAGCCACATTGGGGGCCTGAGGAGGGGAGGAGGTCACACATAAAATGCTGGGAACACCATTGTCATCCCATCAACTCCTTCTTATGAGTGGCAGTGGTCTTATGTGGATTACTGGAACCCCGGGGCAGAGCCAGGGCAAGAAGAGATCACTGATCCCATCTGAGTCTTCTCTGAGTTCCCAGTTCCACCATCTTCCTGGTCTTTTCCTTTACTCTTTCAAGGACTTAAGAGTTGGTGTGTGTGTGTGTGTGTGTGTGTGTATGTGTGTGTGGGTGGGTGGGTGTGTGTTGCAAAGAGTCAAAAATGAATATTCTACTTAAACCTTCTATTAATCCAGCATTTATTTATTATGTGTCAGACACTGTGCCAGGAACTTCAAATCCTCCTAGCAAATTTAAGAAGTCAACATTATTGTTACCTTTGTCTTGGAAATGTGGGAACTGAGGCATGGAGAGACCCCACAACCTGCAAGTGGTAGACTAGGGATACTCTCAAATCTCTTTGACCTTGAAGTCTGGGTTCTTACCCTCTATCTTGCACAGCCTCTGAAATGTGCCCTTAAAATAACCCTGTGTGAGTCACATTTTCATATAAATAAAATCTTGTTTTAAAGATAAGGGAAGCCCTGTGAAAGTATAGATTTCTATTATGCACTCAAAATTGCTCTCTTAAAGCAAGTGTGATTGGGCTTTAGTTTACTTGATTTCTGCTCCTTGGAACTGATGCCTGTTTAAGCTCTTATAATTCTCATTAAGACAGAAGAAACACTATTAGTTTGAGCTTTCCCATCTTCCTTCCAACCCCCTCCCTCAACCTGCCAATGTGGTTGCTGGCTTCGTCCTCCAATCCTTATGTTAATATGAAATATGTTTTTCCTTTATGAAGTTTGAAAAATACAAGTGAAGAACTTATGTGATAATGTAATAACCTAGATTTCAATTTTAAAAGATAACTAGAAAATTCTTATATGTTTAGAAACTGAGAAATGCACTTTCAAATAATCTACAGGTCAAAGAAGAAGTAATAATGAAAAGTGAAAAACACTGTGAAGTAGATATAGGAAAAATACTACATATCAAAGTATATATTGCAGCTAAAACAGTACTTAGAGGACAATGTATAGCCTTCCATTTACATATTGGGAAAGGACTTGCATTACTCTGGAATTGCTTTTGGGGAATTGAATTGTGATTTTTTTAAAACTGTGATGCCCTTGAAGGCCAGCTTCACAGGGCCTGCAGGTCTCTGTCACCCAGTAACATTACTCATTTCTGTCTCCCAGAGGCACTCAGTTGCCGCAAAGAGCAAGGCAGGTACTATGATCAGCTCCTGAGGGATTGCATCAGCTGTGCCTCCATCTGTGGACGTCACCCCAAGCAATGCACATACTTCTGTGAGAACAAGTTCAGGAGCCATGTGAACCTCCCACCAGAGCTCAGGAGACAGCGGGCTGGGGAAGCTGAAACCAGGTCAGATGACTTGGGAAGGTACCAGGGAACAGAGCACAGAGGCTCGGAGACAGGTCCAGGTAAGTCCTCTGAGGTTGGCCTGATGGTATCTGAGGGCCACAGTGGGCAGAGGGCCAGGTGCCAGGCCTAGATAAGGAGGGTCTACAAAGCAGGAAGCCCAGAGTCCGGGCAAATGGCCAGAAGACAGGGGAGGGTTATCACAGGATAGAACGAAATTTTAGGCAAAATACATAGAAGTCTGTGGGCGAGAAGGACGCAGGAGGAAAAGAAGAAAAAAAAAATCTGATCATTGAGAGCCTTATAATGGAGGCTAAATGAGTTCTTAAAACACAGAGCAGCAGGTAACCAGCAGAGCTAACCATGTGAGCAAGATCTCTGATTCCATTTAGAGACAATGGGGACTTCCAAAGAATGAGAAGGAAAAAAGTATTACAAAACAACTGATGGTGGGGGTTGGCCACCTGGGACATGGTGAGAAGGGTTCCTGGACCTGGTCATCTACTAAGTGCCAACCATTGAAAGTGTCTAATTATCCTCCCAGAAAACACCTCTTGGCTTACCTACCCTACTCTGCAGTGTCAGAAAGGATGGGGTGGAGGAGAAATGCCATGTGGACCCATAAGCACTTGAGATACTTACACTGCTCTTGGTCTGTCAGTGGAGAAACATTGGCTGAAGCTCCTGGAGGCCTGACTGGTTTCTTTCCTCTGTTGTGATTTTCCTCACAATGACATCATTTCCATGGCTCCAGATCCTAGTGCCAAGATACCAAAGGGCAGGCATTGTGCGCCCTGATAATGGAGGTTGCCCAGCCCCAAGTTCTACTTGGTTAGACTGTTGTCTTTTAGTCTTTTCTGTTCTCTTGTCAGTGAGCTGTTGCTGTGTAACAAATAATAGTCCCAAAACTCAGTGGCTTATTATTCTTACATATTTGGGTTTTGCCTGGAGTAAGCTGTGTTCTGCTGGCCAGCTAGAGGTGGTTCCACTCCATGTGTCTCTCCTCCTCTTCCCAGGACCAGGCATGTCCCTCTCATGATGATGGCAGGAGTGTAAGAGGTAGAAATACACAAGGCCTCGTGTTGCCAGGCTGGGGACATGCACTACATCCGCACTGCTGCATGCTATTACTCAAGTTGCAAAGCCAGTCAGATTCAAGGATGGGGAAACAGATGCGGGAGGAGAGACAAAGAATTTGTAGCGTTGGTGAGTCTGTGGCTGATTGTAATCTAGCACAGTCTCTCTCTCATGAGAAATGCTGATTCACATGCAGAGGGGCATGGATACAGAGGGAGGGAGGCACAGAACCATGACATGGGGATGGGCGGGGCACACCTGCTCCTCCAGTGTCTAGTGACCCGTATGTCCAACCTGCAGCTGGCGATGTATTTGGATTCTTCTAGCCAAACCCAGAACTTTCTCACCTTTAACGCAATAGGGTCCCCTTCAGATCAATACTACCCATTTTATGGGTTGAGAAACTGAGTCTCAAAATTTAGAGTGAGTTTCTGAGACTTGTACAATGAGTGCATGAGCAGTGCGGAGCTGGGATTCAGGCCAAGTTTCTGGGTCCCAAAGTTTATCCGTTCTGCAAGAGCAAAAATCCCAGAGTGGCATTCACAGGATTGTTATCACTTCCTGAGGGTAACCTGCTGCCCGTGGGACAAGATTAGCTATTCCTGCTTATGACTCCCAGCCAAGCCTCACCCCTGGAGGGCACTGGGTGGAATCTGGGAGCCTCATGTTGGCTCTAGGAGTAGATCCCTCAGGATGTGTGGATGGGGGTATGTAAGGACATGGTGGGGAGCCAGGGGGGTCCACATGCAGGTCATGCCTGACCCTGCAGCATTAGCTGTCCCACTAGCTGGGGACACCACACACCCTCCCAGGAACTCAGTGGCTTAATGACTGTCTTGCTATGGCCGGAGTCTCCCCAGAGGTCTGGGGTTTCGGTCCATTCTGCTCTCTCCTCTGACACCTGGGTGTGCTGACGGGGCCGGAGCTGTGCTTGGTGTGGATTATCAGCAGGAAGTACGAGGGTTACACGCCGGGAGGGCCAGGGGTGGACCTGTTTGAGAGCATGGACTGGAGGACACCATGGGACCAGGCTGTCTCCAGCTGCGGCCAGTGGTGGAGCTGATGTGATCCCGTCCCCCTTGTGGGCTCCCCAGATCCTGCCATCCCCCTATGAAGTCCGCACCCCTGCCAGGCCCCACCTCAACCCTACTCCAGCTCTTCTTGCGGTCATTCCAGACTGTCATTCCTTCATCTGACACGTAACTGGGAGGGTTTGCTGTGCGTGGGCGAGGTGGCAAGACCAGGCAAATCCTGTCCCTGACCCCATAGAAGTCACAGTCTAATGGGAGAGACAGACAATGCACAAGACTCAAGCAAATGACAAATCAGTCTCCGGGCATGGTGGCAACGTAACGCAGCCAGGGGTGCGATGGGGGGGCAAGGCAGTCTTCTCGGAGGAGGGGCCTTTGAGGCAGACTGGGGTAATGGTGCAGGCTGTGGAGCCAGACCCTGGTTCCATCCCTCACTAACTGTGTGACCTTGAGCAAGTTGCTTAACCTCTCTGAGCCTTGGTCCTTTCCTGGGTTGGCCGTGTTAGCTTCCTGCAGGTGCTGTAACACCTGCCCCACACTGGGGAGCCTAAAACCACACAAGTGTCCTCGCTCACCGCTCTGGAGGCCAGAAGGATGATATCCAGGTGTCCAGAGCTCTGGGGAGCATCTCACTGGGGAACCTGGATTTCGTGGGCCTACGGGGTGGCAGTTGTGTTTCCAAGAATGAAAAAGATGCCCCGGGGACCCAGGAGGTGTGTGCAGAAAAGGACGGAGAGGGAAGCTCTATGGGGGGGAGAGGGGGAGTGTGCCTTTGAGGGGTCATAGAGGGTCCCCCAGACACACTGGAAAGGAGCTGTCGGCGAGGTCAGAGCAGAACCCAGAGGGCTGTGTGTCCACAAAGGCAAACAAGGAGGAACATTCTGGAAGGAGTAGGTCACAGCGCAGAGAAGGCTGCAGATGCAAAGAGGCCAGAGGACCTTCTGAAGGGCCATTTTCAGGTGTCAGTAGGTGGAGGCATCCCTGACCTGAGGAAATGCCAGGGGGCAAGGCAGGGAGCCCCTCTCTCACTGTTCCTGAGGCCAAGAAGCCAGGCCTCTCCTTCTCCGTCTCCCGCTTAGCCTCATCCTTTATCAGGCCTTTAGCGTGCCCTAGTCCGGTTTAACCTAATTGCACCAGATGGGAAGAAGGCACAGTGGCAGAGTGGGGGGCCCGGAAGCATAGACTGCCCTCCAGGGCCCCCCGTGTTCACTGAACAGTGTAGGGTGCTGGGGCCGGGGGCGCAGAGCCCCACCATGAAGATCACAGGCAGGGGGCCTGAAGGCCTGGGAGGTGAGGGTGTGGAGGGGCCGGCGGGCAGCAGCGTCCTGCGTGGTGGGGGAACTCTGAGCTGTGGGGTACACGCACCCAGGGAGAAAAGCACTGGCTTGGCAAATGGGAAGCATGACAGGCATTTAAGGAAGAGAAACCCAGCGGCCAAGACAATCAATCTGCAGGTCATGTGTGCAGGGTGGGAAACGGCCGTGTTCTCACTGCGGTCACGTCCATGGAAGCCAGCGGTCAGCATTTCGGGGTCAGGGCGGACACCACGTCTGTCTTGGGAGTTGCTCAAGGTTTCCTTTTGTGTGGGAACTGAAGCTAGACACGGCGGCCCTGACGTTGGTCTTCAAAACCAGGCTGAGAAGGGAGGGGAGGCACGGGCCGGGGCTGGAGGGGGCCCCAGGGTGAAGGGGGCTTCCTTCATTAACCGGAGCGGCTTGAGCAAAGGGGAAGGCCAGGGGGTCTGATCCGGGGCCAGGGAGAGGGGCCGAACGGGAGCAGGGGTGAGGTTGTGAAGGAGTCATCCCCCCTGCCCTGCTGCCCTGCTGCCCTCCCACCAGCAGGATGGAGGTTTGCTCTCAGAAGAGGTGGCACCAGACAGAACGGGGACATCGGGATCCCAGGCCCTGATGGGGGTGGCAGGTGGGGCTGGGGATGCCCCCCCATCCTTTCCCAAACTCGTCTCCCAAAACGGCAGCCAAGTGTCACACACACAAGCACACACGGACCCCATGGGGGGTTGTCTGCACGAAAGGCCCACACATGACGGACATGTGCAGGCCCCCCAGTGACCGGAGAGTGAGGCTCACACTCGCTGCAGGAAACCCCTTCTCAAGGTGAACATTCAGCCCAGGGTCACCACACGTGCATAGGGAAGGAGGGGAAGACGGAGAGTCCCGGATGCTGACCAGGTGGTCCCCATGGACGCGGCCCACCAGTGGTACAGCAGTCTTCCGAGAAAGAGGAGGAACAGAAATCCTCCTGAGTGTGGCGTCCTACAACGGCCACCCCAGCCTCCCTCCGTCCTACGGACAGACTCCCCGCAGGCTGAGCTGGGGAGGCGTGGGGACACTTGGGGACTTGCAGCATCAGTGTCCCCCCACACCCCCACCCAGGGCCTAGCCGCCTCGTATCCGTTTACACGCACTGCCTTGCGGATGCCAAACAATGCTGACAAGCATCTCATTCCCCATTTTACAGATGAGGAGACTGAGGGCGGAGGAAGCTGAGTACAAAGTCCAAAGCCTCCTTCAATTCAAGCAGTGTGGCTGCAGGGCCCCCAGCTGAGCGGTGCCATCTGGATTCCTGGCCCGCAAAGGCCCCTTTCTCTGCCCCTAAGTGACGAGTCATAACCCTGACCAACTGGCCAGCCTGAGCCTGAGCCGGGGACCGCAGCAGTCTGGGGAAATTCTATTTTTAGATGTGAGATGGCCTTGAAGACAGTAAAACAAAACAAAAACAAAAACTAGCCTGGAAACAAACCGTCCCTGGGCTGGGGTCAGTCTCGCTCCCAAGCCGCCGGAAGCCATGTGCGGTGCCCTCTGGTGGTGGTTCTTGGGAACTGCACCTGCAGGGGGGTCTTCCCAGGACTTCATCTTCTGACGAGCACAGAGAATGCGTCCCTTTTTCTCACAAAACCTTTTGACTGTGCCCCTTTGCTCCCGGGTCAGCAGACAGAGACGTACGGGGCAAGGCCTCTCTGATCTGCGGGGGCCGGGTCACCGAGGGCCCACAGAAGGCGACTTCTGAGGTCGTGACCCAAGAGACCTTCGTGATCCACCAAAGGAGAGCAGAGAAGGGCACACACATGCCCTCCACCCCCAGGGGAGTCTTGGCGCTCACCGCTGCCAGACCCGTGCGGGGCCCATTCGGGTGGTGCAGAAAGCAGCGGGGGACGGCTGTCCCGTTAGTGGGCACGCCAGCTGCTGGGGCTCAATGACCCCCCCCGCCCCCACCCCGGTCCTTCCGGTGGGCCTTTTACGAGGCTCTTTGGACGTGTGTGTCGTGAGCAGAGCAGCTTCAAGCTGTTTTCCTGTTTTGAATAGATGACACAGACAAATCATTTAAGAAACAAAAAGAAGAGGGGCGCCTGGGTGGCTCAGTCGGTTGAGCGTCCGACTCTTGGTCTCAGCTCAGGTGTTGATCTCAGGGTCGCGAGATCGAGCCCCGCGTTGGGCTCCGCGCCAGGCGTAGAACCGACTTTCCCACCTTTCCTTACCTAAGGCACATCTACAGCTCCTTATGTGGTTCACACCACGGCTGGCATCCAAAGTGCGCACCTCCCGCTTTCGCTGCCTATCTCCTGGGGTTCGGTCCGCCGTAGGCCGACCCAGCTTCTGCGGCTCTGAACGAGGCTCCAGTGAACGCCCGTGTCTGTGTGGGTGGGACGTGGCCTGGACGTGAAGTCGGCGAATCCACGGGCATCAGGAAAGTGTGGTTTTCGTGTTGGGAGCTGGTTCCAAATGGCCCTCAAACTATTCTCCCCACACCCCGGCCCAAACGAGGCACTCTCGTGATACAGGTGGGAGAGGACCCCTGTACTTTAATCTGCACTCCCCTTCCTGGTTCAGGGGCTCTGTAAAGCAGGTACCAGGGGCAGGTCACCAGCACGAGCTAGTTCCATTGCCCACAGGAAACGTCAGGTCGCTGGTCTGGGCAGAGGGGCGAAGAGCAGCTGGGACAAGCCCCTCACCCCCTCAGGAGCGCAGTCTGGTTGTTCACTGTAGCCTCCAAAAGCCACCGAAAACTTAGTGGCCTACAAATAACCCCTTTGTTATCTCGCTTGGTTCTCTGGGTTACTGGGCTCCACTGGGCAGGTCTGGTGTCTGCTTGGGGTCTCTGCACAGCATCGGGCAGATGGCGTGGGGGGGACGGGGTCACTTGGAGGTTTGGCTCTGATGCGGGGATGGCCGGGCCTCGCTCCTCCCTCAGTCTCAGGGCCCACCCCTCTCCACGTGGCCTCTCTGTGTGGGCTCCCACGTGGCCTCTCAGCTGGCCTTCTCACGCGGTAGCCCCGGGGCTCCCCGAAGCAGAAGCAAGGGCTCCCAGGCCTTCTGCTGCCTCCTCCTGGTGTCAGGGAGGCCCGGCCCGGCCCTGATGTGAGGGGCAGGCTGCGCGGAGGTGGCTCTTTGGGGACCAGCCGTGAACACTCGCTGCCAGGTCTGGCTGGTAGAACTCGCGCCGAGAACATCTGAAATGTGCAGACGGTTAGACTCTCTCCTTGAATCTACACAGCAGTTCATTTGTACTGAGCAACCTGGCGGCCGGGCATTCCGTCCCTGATGTGAATGAAGGCCGCCGGCCTCTCCCCTGTGGATCCAGCTGCACATTGTTGTTGTTTTATTCCAGAGGCAAGTAGGAGTAGGTAGGCAGATGGAAAGGCCTGGCAGTTGGGAAATGGGAAGTGTTGCCCGGCTCAGCCCTATGCCCTGCTCCTCTTCTCTCTGAGGGCCTCAGTCATCAGATCTGTAGCACCAGCGTATGGTGCCCACTGAGGGTTCTTTGCTTCCCCCTTCTCTGGGCCTCCCTGAGCTCCGGGCAAGGGACACGAAGGATAGCACCGCCCAGAGCGCCCGGTCTCCCTCTGTAAACATCAGGGTGGCACCTGCCAGCTCGGTCACTTTATAAAACTCGAGACTCTGAGGAGCGGGTCGGGGGCGGCGTCACCCTCATCGCCTCTGTGAAGCCAGCCCTGAGCACTGGCCCGGAGTCCATCACACCTGCTCCCCGCGACAGTTGCGACTGGGAACAGGGTGACTTGGAATCTGTTTTGTCACCTGCAAAATGGAGTGTCCCATGGTGCAGCCCCTGTGGCAAACAGTCTGGAGGTTTCTCAAAAAGTGACACAGACCATTACCATCTGACGCAGAGATTCCACGCCTAGGCTTCAGCAGAAAACCGAAAACATGCGTCCACGCGAAACCTTGTCTGCAAATGGTCACGGCAGCCTTATGCACGACAGCAAAGCATGGCAACAGCCCAAACGTCCATGGGCAGATGAACGGAGGAACATGGGTTATGACCCTACAATGGAACATTATCCGGCCCCAGAAAGGAGTAAAGTCCTGACCCGCAGGACAGTGTGGATCAGCCTTGAAATCACGCTCAGCGAAAGAAGCCAGACGCAAAGGGCCACATACTCTATGACCGCATTCATAGGGAAGGTCCCCAATAGGCCCACCCACAGAGACAGAGGGGGATCAGTGGAGTGGTGCCAGGGGCTGGGGGGCGGACACGCGGAGTGACTGCTAGTGAGTACACGGGTGATGGAAATGTCTTCCAACCAGATGGCGGTGACGTTTGCACAACCTTGTGAATATACGCAAACCCACTGAGCTGCACACTTTAGAATGAGGAATGTGACGGCATATGAGTTCTACCTCAATATCTAAAGGCGGGGTAGTCAATCCGCCTTCACAGGAGCAGGGGAATTATGGGAGACGCTCCCCAAAGGCTCCGTGGGTGGTCCACATCATCAGTATATTGTATGTGCGGATTAACTCTGGCCCCTCTGTCCTTCCACCTGGGGCCTAGGGGGTGCCCCGATTCTAGGGGCCAGGAAAAATGTCAAGGGGAGGGCTTTGGCTCAGGGCTGAGTCTTCCTCTCGCATCCAAACCAGAGGCTCGAGGCCCTGAGAAGTGGAGTGACCAGCACTCCCATTCCCCAGGGCCCTCCTGCTTTGCTCTCCCAGACTCAGTAGCAACTGGACCTGTCTCACTCTCCAAGGATGCTTCCCCAGGAAGGCCCCCTCTTGAAGGAAGGAAGGCCCAGGTCAGGACAGAGACAGCTTCCCAAGATTTCTGTCTGTTCATTCATCCATCCACCTCTGGTACTGTCCCAACCTACATCCTATGGCAAGAGCAGACAGCAACAAGGGCCAGCTCCAGAGGTGTCCAGCGCTGAGCTCTTGGGAGATGTTGCTACCAGCCTGGGGTAGAGGGGGCTGATTTCCTCCAAAGTCCAGAGAAGAGTCCACACCAGCCAAGCCTCAGGGTGAGGAAGGGAACCATCTTGGCTTGACAGCACACTGGGACTGGGGCCTCCACCCTCCCAGGGGGCATGGATATGGCCACGTGGCTTGCTTGGGCCCAGTGAGGGAAAAGAAAGAGGAGGGTACGACTCTGGAAAACTGTATGGAGGTTCCTCAAAAAGTTGAAAATAGAGCTACCATACGATCCAGCAATTGCACTACTGGGTATTTACCCCAAAGATACAAAAGTAGGGATCCGAAGGGGTACGTGCACCCCGATGTTTATAGCAGCAATGTCCACAATAGCCAAACTGTGGAAAGAGCCAAGATGTCCATCGACAGATGACTGGATAAAGAAGATGTGGTATATATATACAATGGAATATTATGCAGCCATCAAAAGGAATGAGATCTTGCCATTTGCAACGACGTGGATGGAACTGGAGGGTATTATGTTGAGTGAAATAAGTCAAACAGAGAAAGACATGTATCATATGATCTCATTGATATGAGGAATTCTTAATTGCAGGAAACAAACTGAGTGTTGTTGGAGTGGGGGGTGGGGTGGGAGGGATGGGGTGACTGGGTGATAGACACTGGGGAGGGTACGTGCTCTGTTAAGCGCTGTGAATTGTGCAGGACTGTTGAATCTCAGATCTGTACCTCTGAGACAAATAATGCAAGATATGTTAAGAAAAAAAAAAGAAGAAGAAGAAGGTAGCGGGAGGGGAGGAATGAAGCGGGGGACATCGGAGGGGTGGACGAACCCTCCATGAGAGAAGATGGACTCTGAAAAACAAACTGAGGGTTCTAGAGGGGAGGGGGGTGGGAGGATGGGTTGGCCTGGTGGTGGGTATTGAGGAGGGCACGTTCTGCATGGAGCACTGGGTGTTGTGCACGAACAATGAATCATGGAACACTTCATCTAGAACTAATGATGTAATGTATGGGGATTAACATAAGAATAAAAAAAAAAAAAAAAGAAAGAAAGAGGAGGGTACGCTTCAGAGAAGGGCCCTGGACAGTGAAGGGCCCCTCCGGATCTCAGGGCCTCACGTCTGTTTTGGGGCGCCCCCAGGGCTGAAGCTGAGTGCCGACCAGTTGGCCCTGGTCTACAGCACGCTGGGCCTCTGTCTCTGCGCAATCATCTGCTGCTTCCTCCTGGCCGTGGCCTGCTTCCTCAAGAGGAGAGGGGACCAATTCTCCTGCCAGCCCTCAGCAGCACCATGTGGGGCCCAGGCCAAGGCTTCCAAGGGTGAGCGAGAAACGGGCCCTCATACTCCCATGGCTTGCGGGACAAGCTGCGGGCCATCCCCCTGTCCCGGCACTGGTCCTGCTGCCAAAGGGACAGCATATTGCCAGCCCTATCCGGGGGGGGGGAGGGGGGGGCACATCCCTGCAGTACTGTTTCGGTCTTGGTGAAATGAGGTTCAACATCAGGACCAGAGGTGGAGCACCTGTCCAGGGTGCGTGTAGGGCGATGGCCAGGGGCTTGGCAGGGGCGCAGGCTTCCAGGGCTGAAACCTGGAGGAGGCGGTCCCCCTGGGGGCTGCGGGCAGGGGGGCGGTCAGCCAAGGTGTGAAGGCCTGCTCCTAGGCAGGCTCCCTAGCACAAGGGAGGCGCCAGGAGGGGGCGCTGCTCGTGGGGCGCGGGCGGGCAGGGCAGTTCACCGTCTGCGGGAACCCGACAACCTGGCCGCCTGTCCCCTCGGTGCAGGGCGGTTGAGGAGGGGTCGGGGCCAAGGCCAACGCCGTCGCCCTCTCCCCTTCCCGCAGATCACTGCATGGAAGCCGGAAGCGCCGCGGGCACGCCGCCGGAGCCGGTGGAGACCTGCAGCTTCTGCTTCCCAGAGCGCAGGCAGCCCACCCAGGAGAGCGCGCGCGCGCCCGGGACCCCCGACGCCGCGCCCTTGGGAAGGTGGGGGCGCCTCGGCCCGACGGCGACCGCACAGCCCTGCGCCCGCACCCCCGACGGCGGCCTTGAGGTCCTGTGCGCGCCCTCCGAGGAGGGAGGCCCCGCCGCGTGACCTGGGGGAAGGGTGAGACGGGGAGAAGGATAGGGGGTGGAGAGGTGGAGAGGGAGGGAGACAGATGGGGAGGGTGGGAGGGAGGGAGTGAGGTGGAGAGGGAGGGAGAGAGGTGGGGAGGGTGGAAGAGAGGTGGGGAGGGAGGAAGGGAGGAGGTGGGGAGGGAGGGAGGGAAAGAGGTGCCGGGGAAGGAGGCCTGTCACGTCGTCTTTCTGCCACGTCCCCACTGCAGGTCACCGTCACCTACACACCTGCAGTGAAGTCATCACGCCTGCTGGACGCAGCCCCCAAGAGCCCTTCTTTAGAAATAAAACCTTCCCGGCTGCCCACTCCTCCCTATCCCTGGTTTTGGTCTCGTCTCCCCTGTGATGCCTCTGGACGTCCCACCTGTCCCACGGCCTCCCTGGGCTCGGGGCTCCACCACGAGGCAGCTGCTGGCTTTCCGAGGACCTGCAAGTTGACCGCCCCACCAGGCTCTGGACCCACTGAGCTTGTTGACCTGTGCGGGGTGGGAAGCAGCGGTACACAGCGGGGCCCTGCGGCTCGCTTTCATTTAAGAGGGACAGCCAGAGTGGGGGGACGCCGGTGGGGGTCCTCCAGGAGGGCTGGGCTCACCTGCATTTCTTTGACAAAACAATTTCTCCACCGAGCCTCCTTAGGCATGGTGCCGCACGGGGAAGCACAGTGCAATTCTGCACGTGCGTGTGCGCGCACATGTGTGTCAGTGTGTGTGTGTGTGTGTGTGTGTGTGTGTGTGGTGGGGTATGGGGTGGACAGGAAGGGGCAGGCTGAGCCCAGGGCACCCAGCCGCTCTGAAAGCCCGAGGCTCTTTACACACACCGTTGGCCCTATCTAGTCACCAACCTGCACTGTGAGTGGCTTAAGATTCTTCTTTGTATTAACCCCCTTTCCTTCTAGCCCTACTCTAAGCGCACGCTAAATTTTATGAGTGATAACACTAAGCAGTAATATCTGAGCATCCACACATTTTATTTGATATTTCTATTGTTAGTGGCATCGAAATCCGTATTTTAGTCGCACTTAAAATGCATAATGATTCTTAGAAGCATTTACACAGTAGGATAAATACATGAGTAAGTGAAATAAAATGATGTCATCCTGTGCCACGCAAGATTACCTTGCACAGCCACACATACCAGAGGTTCACACAACACACTTTGGGAGGTGTAGACGGGATGCCTGATGCATCATCTGTCCACCCTCCACGGGCTAACAGGCTGTCTCGCTTTCCTGGGGTTGCTATAACAAAGTAGTACACACAGAGTGGTTTAAAGGACAGAAAGTCACTGTCCCCTGCTTCTCAAGGTGTGCCCTCTGAAGTCAAGGTGCGAGCAGCTGCCTCCTTCTGAGGGCCGTGAGGAGCGATCTGCTCCAGGCCGCTCTGCTCGGCCTGGCCTGCGTCTTCTCTCCCTCTGAGTCTGGGGCCTAATTATGTCCTTTAGATAAGGACACCAGTCCTGTTGGATCAGGGCCGCGCCCCGTGCCTCATTTAACTCAAATCACCTCTGTAAAGACTCCGTGTCCAAACAAGGTCACATTCCGGGGAGCTGAGGGTTAGGGCTTCACACGGGAGTTTGGGGCTTCTAAAGTGTGTCTGCCGAAGACTCACGTCCGATCTGTCGCTCAGTCAGCCCCACATGGCAAACGGCAACACCCGGGCAGCAGTGTTTCCTGCCACCAAGCCCATGTGAGTAGCTTGTCCGATGACAGGATTGACACTAAAGGTCTGTAACTGGGGTGGATGTCCCGCACACTGACAGGGTAAGGGCGCATCTGGGAGCCGCCCGGGTGCCGCTTAGACGAGAAGGCTCGCCTGGAGGGTGTGCGGGTTTCTATTTCTTCTGCAGTGTTCCAGCTCTGCCCATCCGAGCCCGGGGAACTCTGGGGGATGTTTCTGGTAGTGCTAGGGGAGTTGGGTCTGCGGAAAATGCAGGGTGCTGAGCGCCCGACCCTGGCAGCCATCAGACAAAAATAATCTTGGTTTTTGTCAGTTTTTCAATTGTTCTTTGTTGTGGGTGTGGGTGTGGGTGTGTGTTTTAAGACACGGATCCCTTTGGTAGATCGTAAATGAGAAACTCTAAATACTGTCCATTTTATCCGTGCTCTGGATAAAATTCTGTTGGTTGTATCTCCAACATACATTCTGATTCCTGTCACTCGTCACAGCCCCGGAGCCAGGCTCCTGCCAGGGCTCCCACAGGTGAGTGCGCAGCGCCCCCTGGCCAATCTGTCGCCACCCTGTCCCCTAGCCCGGGGCTCAGCCAGCTCTGCTGGAAAGGATCACAGGGTCAGTATCTTGGGCTTTGTGGACCATTTTGGCCGGACAGTTACCCGGCCCCCACCACAGTAGCAAGCAGGGAAGGCTGTGCTCCATAAAACGGCTTCCAGAAACAGGTAGCGGGCCAGATTTGAACCGCGGGCCGTACCTTGCCAACCCAGCCCTTTCCCTATTCATGGCAACACCGATCTTTTTTTTCTTTTAAGCTCTATTGAGATACAGTTGACATATAACATTGTGTGAGTGTACGATGTAAAATGTGATGATTTGATACATTTACATATTGCAAAACGAGGACCTCATAGCATTAGCGAACGCTTCCATCCCATCACAGAATTACTGTGCCTTTTTGGTGGTGAGAACATCGAAGATCTACTCTCTTAGCAACTTTGAAGTAGATAATACAGTATTATTGCCCTGTTCGCCATGTGGTACATTAGATCCTCGGAACTTGTTTATCTTATAACAGGAAGTTTGTGCCCTTTGACCAGCATCTCTCCCCCACCCCGTTCCCTGCCTCCACTCCCCCACCCCGCTAACCACCATTCTACTCTTTGTTTCTCTGAAACCTGATCTTTTCATTTATGCCTCTTAAATTTTTTTAAAGATTGTATTTATTTATTTGAGAGAGAGATTGAGAGAACGAGTGGGGAGGGTCAGAGGCAGAGGGAGAAACGGACTCCCTGCAGAGCAGGGAGCCCCATGCGGGACTCAATCCCAGGACCCCGGGATCATGACCTGAGCCAACGGCAGACGCTCAACCGACTGAGCCACCCAGGCACCCTATGCCTCTTAAAATCTTTTTAATGGTACCTCTTTAGTTCATCACAGTCAACCCTCCAATAATAATATACCACTTTGCATAGAGCATAAGACTCTTACAACAGTATACTCTCAATGCCCCCCAGCTTCTCTGCTGCCGTTCTCACGCATTTTCCTGACATGTTCTATCAACTCTCTATACATCACTACTATTTTTGCTTTAGAAGTTCAGTACCTTTCAGAGCAATTAAAAATAAGAAAAACAATGCCTTTTATATTGACCTTAATTTCTGGAAATCCTCACTGTTTGGTGTAGAGCCAGGTGTCTGGGAACATGTTCCTTCTGTCTGAAGAACTTCCTTTATTCCTTGTCCTTGCAGGACATGAATCCTCTCCATTTTTATTTGTTTGGAAAAGTCTTGATTTCTCTTGCGTTTCTGAAAGATGTTTTTGTTCCTGGGTATAGACTGGGGTTGCCAGGTCTTTCAGCATTTTAAAGACATTATTCTATTATCCGTGGTTTGCATAGTTTCTGACAAGACATCTACTCTGATTCCTCTCTTTGTTCCTTTATAATCTGTGCCCTCATTTCCTTCTCCTTTTCTTACCTTTTTATTTATTCTAAAGATTTTATTTATTTATTTGACAGAGAGAGAGAGAGCCCAAGCAGGGGGAGCCCGATGTGGGACTTGATCCCAGGACCCCGGGATCATGACCTGAGCCAAAGGCAGTCGCTTAACCAACTGAGCCACCCAGGTGCCCTTCTTATCGTTTTAGCAGTTAGAATATGTTCTATCTAGGACTTTTTGTTTGAGTTAGGGTTTTTTTTGTTTGTTTTTTTGAGAGAGAGAGAGAGAGAGAGCGCACACATGAGCAGGGGAGGAGGGGCAGAGGGAAAGGAAGAGAGAGCACCCTAAGCAGGCTCCATGCCCAGCATGGAGCCTGTCACGGGGCTCAATGTCACGACCCTGAGATCATGACGTGAGCCAAAAACAAGAGCTGGACATTTAACCAACTGAGCCACCAGGTGCCCTGGGTTAGGTTTGTTTTTTACTTAGCCTGCTTGGGGTTCTCCGAGATTTTATTGATCTGTAGCTTGGTGTCTTTCATTATTAAATATATATATATATATATACATGCCATTCATTATCTCTTCCAACTGTTTGCTATCATCCCACAGCTCGGGTGCCCTATTATTTTGTTGGGGTTTTTCCCCCCATTCTTTTTTTCTCTTTGTGGTTCAGTCTGGGTAATTTCTATTGACCTTCAAGTTCACTGCTTCACTCCTCAGCTGTGCTGAGCTTACTGATGGGCCTTCATCTCAATTACATGGGTTTTTCTTCCAGAGTTTCCATTTGACTCTCATAGTTTCCACCTCTCTGCTGAAGGCCCCCCCTTCTATTCAGGCATGTATCCCACAGTTTCCATGAGAGAATTCAACATCTGAATCTTAATTATTTAAAAATTCCTGCCTAATAGTTTCAACACCCAGACCACCTCTGACTCTGGCTCTGTGGAGTGATTTGTCTGTTGGCAATGGGTTGTTTTTACTTGCTCGCGCGTGTGTGTGGTAATCTTTTTAACGAATGCCAGAGCCGCGTGGGACAGTAGGCAGGCTGAAGGAAGGAGGGTATACTGGGGGACAGGTACGCCGGCTCTCCTGCCAGGCAGTCAGTGTGAGGGGTCGAGCCAACCAAGCTGTGAGCGGAGCTGAGTTTCCGTCTAGTTGTATGCTCACCTCTCGTGCCTTGCTGGCTTCAAATGCCCCTGGGGTCACCATGTTCTTGGTGGCAGGGGGTGGCAGGGTTTGTAATATTCCCGCTATGCCCTCCGTCCCTGCGTGCCTCTGCCTAAAGAGGGTCTTTCTCCATTCTTTGCCTTCCGTCCGCGGTAGGTGATGTTACTTGGTGCTTGCCAACCAGAGGGGTGGGGGGAGCTG